GCATGCTTGCTGCATTGCATTGCGTGTGCATGCCTTGCCTCTTGATCAAACATGATAGAGGTTAAGGTCCCTTATGTGTTTTTGTGCATTTCATTCACATTGAATTGTGCGACTCAGCCTCTTTGGCCATCACGCGTCGCAATGCGTGATTGATGGCTCGAGGGCCGAACACTACACACCTTTGAGCTTTGAACATGATAAGGGGTGTAGTTGCACAACATTTTCTTGTAAATGTATTGCCATGCCTCTGTTTGTACTCTGCTACAACAAAAGGAGCAGTTTGCAAGAAGAGGTGGCCGATCGGCTATCTAGTGTGCCGATCGGCTATCAATATTTGGTCGATAGCCTCATATTTGGTCGATGACCATTATCCACTGGCCGATGGCCACCCCTCTTGGCCGATAACCTCTCAGCATGTCCATGAGGTGGATCAGAAGTGTTTTGGAGATTTGTACAGTTTTCAGAGGTACAGAACAGTGCAAACAGAGGCAGCATGAGGCATGGCAACGGATTTCCGAGCGAGGCAACCGAGCATGCATCATTCATCATTTCGAGGCAAAGCTGTGGCAGCCTGTCTTAGTTTCTTACTTAACTGATTTTGTAACTTAATTAATTTGTTTAATTAGTTAAGAGTTTTGTAATAATTAATTAGCTTAGTTAATTAGTTGGTTTGTATTATTTATTCGGACCCTCCGTCGAGAGGGCGAATTTCGTAATAAGTGTGCGTGAGTGTGTGAATGTCTTCTAATCCCACATCTTTCTCCCTTTTACTTAACCGCTTACGATGGTTAGTTTTAGGATCATATTTTGATTAGCATCCTTATGCTTGCATGTTTGCATCCATTCATATGTCTTACATGCACCGGGCTCGGCGCATCATATAAACTACATTGTATTTCAATTCCTACTTGAATACATGTTATCAAATTGCATCTCATATGCCATCTTAGAATAGCCGAGCCTATTTCTAGTTGCATTTTGCATGTGTTGCATTAGCCATCTTAACATGAACTAAGATCATGCATGATTTCTAACTAGTTCCCTGTTTTGGCTCGGAGTGCACTGTGAGTGTTTACGCTTTAGCATCTTGCATGAGTGTGAGTGTTGCCATGATAGCATGCTTGCCATAAGGCTATTTGCTTAAATGTTATAACTGCCTAAATGCCTGTGGGTGAAGGTTGGATTGCTTGAATTTGAACAATTCATTGAAATGCGAGTTTTAAGCCCACTTGATGGCAAAATCATATTTTCTAAGCCCACTCGAGGGTGGCAAATCCACGTCTTAGCCTACTTGCAAGTAGCACCTTCAAACCATTTTCAAACAAACATGAGATGTTTTGTTCCAACTTAGGCGATCTAGTCTATACTTGTATGTTGTGCGCATCACGTAGTAAGCTAGCTAATAAACCGAAATGAGAACGCATGTGTTTTCAAAAGCAAAATATCATGTTAGTAAAGGTCGATCTTTGATCGGGCAAGCAGGGGTGCTCATTGCATGACCTTCCCCTCTCGTACCTAAGTTCCCAAGCCGAGGCAACTTTGGTGATGACGGACACGTGGCCTTAGGCACGATTCAGGGTTTCCTAAATTTTCCAAAATAAAAACATTTAGGTGGCGACTCTGTATTTGGCAAAGCAGTCCATATCATCCATTTTGGCACTTCTTTAATAAAATCCCAATTTTTCAACACGATTTGCCCGATTTGGACCTCTTTGGTCGATTTACCAGTCTGCATTGCACTTTGCGTGATTAGATTTCAAACCGTGACATTTGAGTCAAAACATTAGTAGTCCAAATGAACAAAACAGATTTCGCGCCTTTTCGCGCGGGGAATCGTGACGTTCGGGCATGTCTACAGTTTTCTGTGACTCTGCTGGGATTTTAGACGACTTGACTCGAACTCATGATAATCTTGTTTTGATTACACCATGTGTCTCTTTGCATTGCCATTTGCATTGGTGCACCTGAGGACACCATGTTTGTCGTATGCTATTCCTGAACGGTTGCCGAAAGGCTCGTTTGGACAAGCATTGCATAAGCTGACCGATTGCAGCTCTGCCACTAAGGAACACAAACCCCAAGTTTTACTGGGGCACCCTTTTTGACCATTCGAACCTAATTGCATTATCGGAAACTGTAGTGACCATTCCAAAGCTAGGACCAGGCTTGCTCACCCAGATATATGTTGTTGAAACGCTGTGTGCGTAGTGAAACCCTAGTTCTTACAAAACTAGGATAGGAAAACCCTACCGCCTCATAGGGGGTGTTTTTGGCTCTCACTTGCGCTGCTATGTGGCCCCCCCTTTTTTTAGAGTGGCGTCTCGCAACAAAGAATGCATGTATCCAGTTTGCAATCCTGGGTTATCAGGCCTGCGTGCATCGTATTGGGAATCAGTTTTACCTACGGGTA